ATTTCCTCTCTGTTCACCAAACAGACAAGAAAGCTAGTTTTATTATCCTTTTCTTGTATTTCAAACTGAACTACACTAGTAATACTCTTTGCTACAAGAGCTGAAAATACAGAAGCTGTTCCATTTTGTGTCTCTATCATCCTTCCTTGCAATGTAAAGGATTCATCATCAGTTTCAATGAGAATGAACTCTCCTTTTCCATTGAATGTGTATTTGTATTGATCAAGAGTTATGATATGAGGATCACCAATGGTCCAAGCTGTATATATTATTCAATTATAATTGATTGTATCATTGTTAACATACCTGGTATTGGAGGGACATATGCAGTGCCATTGTCTGATGGTCGTCTGGTATAATACTTCCCACAATCTTTTTCTGCTCCTTTACAGCAAAAAATATAAGGCAAAATATCTTCCCGATGATGATTTAATAGATTGGTTAGATAGCTTGATGAATCACTGCCAATAGGAGATGCTTTGTCAACAGAGCCACCACTTGTGGGTCCAATGATTAATTGACCATTGGTGTCATAACAACATTCATTACTTGATCCCTCAGTCCTACAAAATTAATAACATGATTCATTGTTTGTAGTCATAAATTCATAACAGCCAATAGGAGGAAATGCACTTTCATGATATGAATAATATTTTTACCTGGTTATTGTTCGTTGATGGTAACATTTGTCAGCATTAGGATGAAGAAATCTCACTAGTTTATTGTTACTGTTTTGTATCAATCCACTATTAACCGTTCTCGCTTGATCAATAGTTGGTGGACAAGGAACCTCTGAACGTACAATTGACAGTAATGCCTCACCAATGGTAGCAGGTTCACTGATTGACCATGCTTTACATTTGCTATAAAATTTTCCTGCATCATTTGCAATCCATATCATATCAGTCCATTGCTTTACTGCACCCTCAGCATAGTCATATGTTACTGGATTTTGCTGATTTCCTACAGCTTCAATAGAAACAATAGCTGGATAGATATTTTGTGCTGACGAATGCGATACAGTTGGTATACTAACAGTATAAGAACCACTATTGTCAATATTGCTGGCTAGTTCATTAACTTGATCAACCGAATTGTTAGTGATGACGTGTAGTTTGATATTAATGCGAAGATTTGCTGTATTAACAGTTCCTGTGCTCTCAGAGAGGCTAGCTGGTATCCATGTTAGTGTAATAGTATCTTGTGCTTGTATTAATAGATCATTAGATATGATATTTACCTTATATCCATTTTCAATAGACTCTAAAAGAGATAACAATATGTAATGAAAACATTACATGCATAAATTACTCAAATTTTACTTACGAGAATAAAATGAGGCTTTGTGTGTATATGCATGTTGCAACTGTACAAATACTCTTCCAGTTACATTCAGTTGAGGAGTGATGCATAAAACTTCGGTAGAACTAATGGGGAAACCCCTCACTTCAGTATTATGAAAGCGACATGTGACTAGCTGATGTTGTTGAACAAATTCAGGAGATGTTAGTATAACTGGGACACCACCAAAAATTTGACCATACCATGGACTCAAATGAAGAGCTCCTAATTTTAATTATAAATGCGAGATACAAATTAAGCACCTTAACACTATTTTAAGACTAACCTGTTGTCAATGCATTCAGTTTCATTCCCATCATAAAAGTATAAGTTTGAGGATTATCTGAAGGATTGTGATAATTGGTTCCATAAGCAATAACACTAAGGCCAGCAGATGGATTACTGTGTTGCAATACGTGAGGATCAAGATCTAAGAATTCATGAATAGTACCGTATCCTACAGTGTTGCCATTTTGATCAATAATAGGATACCAATTCCAGTCATAAGATGTCCCATCAAGCAGTACAAATGAAGTATCAGTGGTAGTAATGTGAACATAATGATTCAAAAAATTTGAGCCATAATATGTACCATTGTCAGGGAAATACTGAACAGTGTTAATATACTGTTCAACTGGAGGGACTATGCTAAGTACTTGAGTGAAAATTGTCGATACATTTTCAATGTTTTCTATGTGGCCTTCAGCACTAAACTGCATTACTAGAATTGGTTTATCTGATTTAATAACACAATAGGCTCTTGGGTCATAAGTTATGTTCCATTCTTCTGAATTCCAATCCCCTGGTGATGACAATGTAATAGTAGCAACTATAGAACCATTGCAAGTCTGGATAACAGTTGTGTCATAAGCTGAAGCAATTATTTTATTGTAATGTTGAACTATTCCATTGGGAAATGGAACGATTAGAAATGTTTCACCCCAAGTTACTGTAGGAGGAATTTGTTCCACAAAATGATCGCACCATCGGCCAGGCCCCCACCACCACCTATATTGTGTTTGTTCAAGCTGCTGAAGGAGTTCATCAGAAATAGTACCACATTCATGTCCACTGATGACAGTCAATGGTTTATTAGAGGTGATGGCAGTGCCAGTCAAATCACCAAATGCTGTTCCAATAAAAAGTGTTTGCATTTGATGCAGTGTAATGGTGTGCACATCACCAGGCTCAACTGATAGCAGTGCACTATTAGGATTTTGTGGATCGGCTGGGACTTCAATAGTTTGAGTAGGTGCAATAGTTATTGTGGTATCATCTTCATTGCCAACTAAAAGAAATGAGCTTTGGCTATCAGTCATAGAAAATCGTGACATAGATCTATCAGCTGACACAACAAAATAATGATACTGCTGTAGTCCAAGATCAATATATGGATAAACCAAGTATGCCTCTTTAAAATCATATTCTGCTGCCATTACGATCACAGATATGGGAGAATCAGAGTGGACATGTATTCCTTTATATCGCTCAGAGTAATTAGCATGGAGTGATCGAAGAACACGCTGTGGTAAGAGAACAGTGGCTGGTTCATCAACAGAAACACTTCCAGTACTATTCCACCCTATATCTGTTTCTATTGTAAAGTCAACAGACTGAGTGGAAAGTGTACTAATAAATATCCGATCTTCATTTATTTCATCCCATTGGTCAACTCTAAACATACCAATATAGAAGTCATATCCATAAGTAGTCCTGTCAACAGATTGACCATCAGAAACTTTATAGCAGAAGAAGCAAACTATTGAGCAATAGATCAATACAACTACTGACAAGCTTCATATGAGTACTCTTACCTAGTAACAAGGTAATGCTAGATGTTGCAGTCATGACGTTTAAAAAGCAGCTAGCGCGCGAGGTAGGACACGGTTGAGTTAATTAGTCTCTTTAGATATTTCTCTGGAGAGCCTCGGGGTTGAATCTCGGGAGCTAGCAATAATGGCAAAGTTCAATTGCATTCCATTGGTAATTGGTATCACGTGATGCAGTAGAGCTACTTAAAATAATGGGTGGGGATTTGTATTATTATTAATAATCATCGAAATTAATTATTATGGCACAATAAAATTAATGGCAGAAGGAACAAGTTCAAGCAAAGACTTGAGAAAATCTTTAAAGGAGCACTTTGGATACTCTGAGTTCAAGACTTCACTTCAAAGAGAAGCTGTAGAGTGTGTTTTTGAAGGTGAGAGAAGGGGCAATAAAATAATAGTATTTATTCCAGTCACAAAAAGGGATATATGTACATAAATTCATGCATGTACATTTATTTTTATAAAGACAAGTATGAAAGTAAAAGAAAAATAATTTTAACCCAAATTTTAAACAGGCATAACTCTAAAATCTTCTGATCTGATGTGTACATTTTTACAATAATATTAATTACAGTAATTACCAAGATTGTAATGATAATAATAATAATAATAATAATAATAATAATAATTCATAGGTAAAAAGGATGTCTTCATTTCTATGCCGACTGGTTCAGGGAAGTCCTTATGCTATCAGCTTCCTGCTTTACTGGCAAAGAAAGGTCTAGCTTTAGTCCTATCTCCTCTCATAGCTCTGATAGAGGACCAGGTATCATCACTACAATCAAAGGGACTTCCTGCCGTCGCTCTCAATTCAAAAACCTCAGCTTCCGATCGCTCCAAGATAGCGTCCCAACTCAAGCTAAAGTCTCCGCCTATAAAACTACTCTATGTCACGCCAGAGATGGTCGCCACGTCTAATTTCCGAGAGACGCTAACGAGGCTTCATCGTAATGGAGGTGTGGTTTTTATAGCGATTGACGAGGCACACTGTGTCTCTGAATGGGGTCATGATTTCAGGCCGGACTACCTAAAGCTAGGAGAGTTGAGGGGTGTGGTCCCGGGCGTTCCGATAATAGCGCTGACAGCTACGGCCACGCCCAGAGTACAGGAGGATGTTGTGCGTAGTTTGAAAATGAGGGAGCCTGTTTCTGTTTTTAAGAGCAGCTGTTTTAGACCCAATCTGTTTTATAATGTTAGGTAGGTCGATTGTGCATGATATTATTATTGATACTGTATGTATATTATTTATGAATATTTTGATAAACAATTAGGTGAGTGGACAATGTACATGTAGATTTGTGTAAATTATTATTACTTTTACTTTAATTTTGAAATTTAAAATTTACCTCCTGTAGTTTTAAGGAAACTCTAAAAGATCCTTTGAAAGATTTGTGTGATTACATCACAGAAGCATTAACTAGCTCAACCACTGAAGTCAGTAAATACATACATATACATGTACATGTAATTCTATTTTATTATTTTACTTCATTAGGGATGTGGTATTATTTATTGTCGTACAAGAGAAGGGTGTGGTGAGCTTGCTGGCCGAATAACGAGCAAAGGGATCCTAGCAAAACCTTACCATGCTGGTAGGTCACATGATAATACATGTACAGTGCCTCTGTAATGTACAGTGTATAGTATAGTATACAGTATAAATGATTTATTGGTGAGAGAAGATCATACAGATTTGGTGAATTTTATATTGGCAATTTTGGGTATGGTTGGATTGAAATAAAATGGCGGATTTACCAGTATTAATTCCTTACCAATCATCTTGTACAGTATAATAATAATAATAATTAAAATTAAAAAAATGATAATGATAATAATAATATTAATGCAGGTCTTAAATCTAATGAAAGGTCACAGGTACAGGAGCAGTGGATGAAAGGGGTTGTCCCTATAATTGTTGCTACAATTAGTTTTGGAATGGGAGTAGACAAAGCAAATGTAAGGTATGTTCGTGTGGAATGCAAGTACAGATTCTGAAAACTGTAAACCTTATAGCGGGAAATTTTAGAAGAAATTAAATTTGGCAAATTTTGGCGTTTGATAGCCATTCGCCAAAATAAAAATCCACCATTTTGAGCCATTACCGTATAGCTGGAAAAGTTTGTGGGAATTATATTTTGCGATTTTGTACCCATATAGCTAATTTTAATGTTTGTGGAATTTAATTTTGCTGGTGTAGGCGTGTACTGTTGATACACCCATTACTTACATGTATAATGCTTTGCGGAATTAAATTGTGCGTTTTTATGATCAACAGCAAAATTAAATTCCAGCAAATATTTCCAGCTATACGGTATGTGCATGCTCAATGGCACGTGGCCACAAATTTGCCAAATTAAAATCCGTGAATCATCAAATTTTAGCAATTCGCCAAATTTAATTCTCTCCAAAATTTCCCACTATACGTTACTGGGTTTCTTGTCCAGCCAAACTTTTGTTCTGTTAATTCACTCTCTGAGCTTAAAAAAACTAAAATTAAATCTGCAAAATTATGGAAACACATTGAGTAGATGAGCGTAGTCCTCTACACTTTTTGATTTTCCCCTTGAAAGTTTGACCCAATGAAAGAGACCCACTATACATGCAGTATATACCATGTAGTGGGAAATTTTGGAGTGAGTAAAATTTGGCAAATTGCTAAATTTTGGTCGATTGGCAGATTTGCGATTTTGTGGCCACGTGCCATTGAGCATGTGTATAATGGCTGAAAATGGCGACATTTTATTTTGGCGAATTGCTATCAAAACGCCAATTTTCCAAATTATTTCCTCTAAAATTCCCTGCTATTACAGTATATACATGTGTACATGTAGTCTGTTACTGATGAATGTGTGTATGAGTTCATGTGGTTTGTGTGTTGGTAGGTTTGTAGTTCACTGGACACTACCTAAAGGTATAGAGGCTTATTACCAAGAGTCTGGTAGAGCTGGGAGAGATGGTTTAAAGGCATACTGTAGGATATATTACTCAAGGTATGAGGGGACCTACAGTCCAGTATACTATATGTACAATGTAGTAAAGCTATGTTTACTAAGTGTGGACTTTGGCCCGATTTTGGAGCAATTTTAAAAATTTGTAAAAAATCTAAATGTGATTGGAATCAGCTCAAACTTTCTACACAACATAAGTACATGTATATGTATCAGGAAAATTTATAAAAATTGAAAATTCTCAACTTTTTAATTTTGACTAAATTTGGCTCGGGACCGTGTACTATAGTACAGGGACTTTAGCCCAATTTTGGAGCAACTTTAAAAATTCGTAAAAAATTCAAATGTGATCGGAATCAGCTCAAACTTTCTTCACAACATAAGTTCATGTATGTGTATCAAGAAAAATTATAAAAATTGAAAATTCTCAACTTTTTAATTTTGGCTAAATTTGGCCTAAATTTGGCCTAAATTTGGCCCATGACCGTGTACTATATATACACATGTAGTACAGGGATTTTAGCCCAATTTTAGAGCAACTTTGAAAATCTGTAAAAAATCCAAATGTGATCAGAATCAGTTCAAACTTTCTACACAACATAAGTTCATGTATGTGTATCAAGAAAAATTATAAAAATTGAAAATTCTCAACTTTTTAATTTTGGCTAAATTTGGCCCATGACCGTTTGATGCTACCTCATTTTTGTTGTTCACCAATAGATTCGATAGAGACCAGTTATTATTTTTACTGCAAAAAGAAATCTCAGAAAAAGAGACAAAGAAAGTTGTTAACATCATTTTGCTCTATCAATCAAACATTGTTATTTATGTCATAGGGTAAGTCACAGTTTAAGTCAGCCAGTCGGAGTAAAGAAGCTACAGAGAAAAGTTTTGAGACCTTAGTTAAGTATTGTGAAGAAGCAAAGTGAGTACTATTCATTGTTATACCACCGGTACATGCACTTGTACCTCACGCCTTTATTAATGATAATCTCAGATCCTAAACTCCGCCCCTTATAGTTGTCGTCACACCGTAATTGCACAATATTTCAAAGACCCAATCCCTGAGGTGAGTCATCTACATGTAATTAAAAAATAAAAGTATATTGTATAGTGGAAAATTTTGGAGGGGATTAAATTTGGTGAATTGGCATTTTGATAGCCATTTGCCAAAATAAAAATCTGCCATTTTCAGCCATTATGCGCATGCTCAATGGCACGTGGCCACAAAGTCGCCAAATTAAATCTGCCAATCACCAAAATGTAGCAATTCATGAAATTTTACTCCCTCCAAAATTTCATGCTCTACAGTACTTACATGTACATGTATTATTAGTGCAAAGACTTGTGTGATGTTTGCAAGATGCCAGCAGCAGTGAAAGATGCTGTCAAGTCCCTCAAACTCTGCTTACCAGCCTCAAGGAAAAAGAAAGGGTTCGTTCGAGGATCTTCTGCAGCTTATTTTGATAGTATGGATGGCTCGCTTTATGAGGGAGGAAGAGGAACTGATGGATAGTAAGGAAGAGAAAGGAGAGATAAAGAAAGAATAAGAAACATTGTATACCGTACAAGATGATTTATTGGTTGGAGTAATATTTGGGGAATTTGCCTACGGAACGAAATTGGTGAATTTTATATTGGCAATTTTGAGCCACGTGCCATTGAGCATGCTCAGATTGAAACAAAATGGAGGTTTTTATATTGGCGATTTCTTCATAGAACCACCAATTGCTAATATTAATTCTTCACCAATAAATCATCTTGTACAGTATACATGTGTACATGTTCATGTAATATACAAGCTAAAGGTGGGTTCTCAATATGACGCATTGCTTTTCATGCGCTAGCGTCATGACCGGAAGTGCTGTATAAACCAATGGGAGTATGCATCAATGCGTCAGAATAGAAATGTTTTCTAATCTGACGCATTGATGCATGCTCCAATTGGTTTATACAGCACTTCCGGTTGTGACAGATGCACGTGCGTCGTATTGAGAATCCACCTTAAAGCTATGATACATGTAGGTAGCTGTTGCTTACAATACTTGTGTACACTTAAGCCATGTTTGTCTATGTGACTCTGTGTTTTTGCTATTTTAGTTAAACAAGTGAATTGTACACAGTCAGTGTATATACATGTACGTGTGTTACACAAACAGTGACAGTGTGTTTTCAATACACATGGTAATGACATTAAATTTGATTAAACTATATGCGTGTACATATACAGCTACATGTACATGTAAATAATGTAATGTACTGTACATGTACAGCTATAAGTTTTTGTTATCTCCAGCATTACCTGTGTTACAGGCGCTGCCTTGCTAGTAAACTTATAGCTGAGTGGTACTGTACATGTACATGTACATGTACATGTACTTGACCCAATGTCTATTGTAGCAGATTGAGAATGCTAGATTAAAAGCATAGCAAGTTTTCCTTACCACCAGCACATGGTGTGATTCATTTTGTTAGGTAACAATATCAGTCCATCTGCCAGAATCTCTTGCCAAATGCTAGAAACAATGTGTAGTCACTACCCTGTATAGTAGTGTAAACTGTGAAGCAATTACTACTTAACTGTATAAACATGTACATGTATATCTTTCTTGTAGCGGGAGCAGTGATGAAGAGTCCGATGAGGATTCCAGCAGTCGGATCAAGCAAATTCAAAAACGAAAAACTCGCGAGTTTTTTGAAGCCGAATTTAGAAAAAGAAGGAGAGAAGTATGTTAAGAAAGACAACTAACCTTTCATTCATTTACTTTGTATAGACGACCAGTCCTGAAGTAGAAGAACTTCCAAGTAATTTTGATGAAATTTAATGCCTTCAGATGTGTCCATGTTATGTGACTTTGTTTTCCACAGGTCCTGATAGTAATATTAGAGATCCTAGTCTAACCAAGAGAGTATCTAAATTGACGATTAAAGTAAGTGGAAAAATAAAGAGGAATTACAGCACCGCTCAGCTATAACTTTACTTTTACACTCCAGCACTACCTGGGTAGGCAAGCTGCACTGTTGTGTACACTATAAATAAAGTTATAGCTGAGCGGTACTGTATGTGCATGTACATGTGAGGGTAGTTACCGTATAGAAGGAAATTTTGGAGGTAGTCAAATTTGGTGAATTTGACATTTTGATAGCCATTCGCCAAAAAACCACCATTTTGAGCCATTATACGCATGCTCAATGGCACGTGACCACAAATTTGTCAAATTAAAACCCGCCAATCACCAAAATTTAGCAATTCACCAAATTTAACTTCCTCCAAAATTTCCTGCTATACAGTATGCTATAGGAAGGAAGAAATTTATTATCTAATACTATGTTTACACTAGCTTTTTTAACTGAGCCAGCCCTGTTTAAAGTGGGCCAGCACAGTTTCATTTGATAGTGTAAACAGTAACCAAACTGAGCTAAAGTGAGCTGGGCCAAACCAGGCTAGCATAGTTAGTACAGCAGGGCCAGCTCAGCCTGGTTCAGCACGGTTTGGCCCACTTCTGTAGTGTAAACGTAGTATACATGTGTATATGCATGTACATGTACATGTACATGTACATTAGTATGATTAGATCGTATGTGATTGTTGTTAGGGGAATTGATATGTTTACCATGTCTAGGTACGCGAACATTGTTACGGTTTACTACTCAAGGCACTTCAAGACAACAGTGACAGCTGTAGCTGTTCCTCTGGGACACCTTCTGTCTTGCTTGCTGGCTCAATCCAGACTAAAGCCAGCTGCATCGAGTATGAGGTTTTTAATAATGCAAAGTCATCCGAAGTGTACAAAATTCAAGTATTAAAAAAGGTTTGCACATAATGCACATGTACATGTATAGTCATTAGGATGCTCCTATTATTCTGACAGACTTCAGGCCCTTTTTGTGTTTTGCATATGATTATGTACACTATACATGTACATGTACATGTATACATATTACACTGTGTACAGCCTACACAGAGCAGCCTATATCTAGAGATTTGCCTGGAGCCCCCCCCCCCCATCTCCAACTAGATTTAGACAATGAGATTATGCAGATGTATAAGTTGGTATAATTTATAATGTGACTGAATTTTTAATTTGCCATTACGTCAGTCTAGACACTGTACAAACTTCATGCCTATTAGTATCAATAGACTTTCAATTTAAAACAACTTGTTAAGTACATAATATACACATTATGTATGTATGTATCATTATTGTATATGATGCAGGTCTCTCTAATTAAGCAAGCGACTAAAAATGGTGAGATTTATACACTTATGAGTAACGAGGTAAGATCTACTATTAAGTTATACTTAAGATGTACATACATGTATGTACATACGACAGGTTAAAAAGAACAGCATTTTCTCGGGCTTTACATCAGCAGCTAGCTTAATAAGAGAACCACCAACTAGCAGTGCTAGTCCCAGTAGTGATCCTATCAGTAAATTTGGTGGATTTCAATCTGCATCACTTCTCATGCCATCAAACTCAAATGCATATAAAACTGGAGGCAATGATGACAAAGACTCTGTAACTGGATCAAAGGAAGTGGAATGCATATTAGTAGAAGATTCATTGGATTCATTGCCATCTACTAGTAAGAGACTGAGTCCAGTGGAGCTCATTTCCATACCAGCAGAAGGAGGAGGACATGATAGTAGACATGATGAGAGTATGAGTCCTACGTGTACTTCAAGAGGAAGATCGATTCTTATAGATAGTCCTAATTCTGGGCTTCCTGTGGAAGAGTTGTCAAACTTGTCTTCAGTCGAAACTTGCTCCATTTTAGACGAGAGACCCCATCCTATATCAGTCATGGAAGACGGTTCATGTGTTATTACTAGTGAATCAAAAAAGTGAAATGTTTAAAAGCTTTGTTTATTTATTTTCACTTTTTTTAGTCGTGCAGTTTCTCCTGACATTGTGACTAAATCGACATCTTCTAAAGACATTGGAAAGGCTCACATTGCATCTTCTGTTGTTAAGATACTCACTCCTCATTACAGGAAAGGAAAGATCACTTCTAAAGTACATGACTCCTCCACACTGTTGCTATTTGCATTTATTGGTACATACATGTATAGGAACTGTTCAAAAAGTTTGCTAAAATCCTTTCTGACGGATTCTATGACAGACAGAAATTTGGTATGCTTATATAAGTATACGGGTAATATTTCCTATAATTATTAATTTTATTTTATCTTGCAGACGAGAGCAAGTGTAAGGAACTAGTGAAGTCTTTCTTTACAAAGCATAGCAAGTGCACTCATGAGAAAGACCTGAAGACTTTGAGTAGATTTTTAACATCAAGTGACATCTGAAATTTTAATTATAATTATTGATCATTATCACTAACTAGAGAATAGCTTATTTCACTACACAACCAATTGTAATTGCCTTAGATCAGGGACTGATATCAGTCTGAATCTGTACCGATACCAGTCCTGAATCATGGTTTTCATGTAATCAGTTATGACACTGTGACAACTGCTAAAATCAAACACGATACAATCATGATAAAATTTGTACTGATTCATGCCAGTATAACAGGTATAATTTGTCAGGGCTGTACCAGTATAGAGTATCCATTATTTTGGGGCAAAAGTGCTGAAACTGCTGATTCAGGCATGATAACGTTTTAAATTTTTGATTGTCAAATTGTCAATATGTCAGCCAAATGGAGGGTAGGCGGACCCCGCCTGACTAAATGGAGGGCTGTGTTGTTGTTAGTCTTGATGACTGTTTTAGTAATATTCTTTAGCTTTCACTCCACAAGGGGAACCTTTTCTTTCCTGGCTTCAAAAGTGGTTCTTATGGACGCGAATGGGTTGGTGCCCGGGGAAAATGTTTCGACCGAGGTTTCGACTCCTAAGTCAGAGCTCGAACCTCATGCCAATCAGGTAAGGGAATAGTTTTAACAAGAAAATTCAATGTAAAATGTATTCTGTTGCATGGTGGTACAGTGAAGTGCTGAGGAAATTGCTCAGTTCAAAAAAAGATATACTACTAGTATATCTATGGTTCAAAAGGGGGTGGGTCGTTTAAGTCAGCAGTTTGTTCTATAGGTTAAAGTTTACAATGTTACAATAGGCTTGATGATGTTATATTGACGCTGGAATAGGATTTGGTTTTATCACAGATACTACTATCTATGGTTCTGTTCTAGCGGAAAGCATGCGTCAAAAGGTCAAATTGCCCACACCTTTGATTAAAAATTGACGGCACCCTGGCCTAACGCCGTATTGTAAACCAGCCTTTACTTATACATGTACATTGTTTTAGTTACTCAATATCTTGTAATACTTCATGTATGAATAGTATTGCCTGTTGTATAGGACTGGAATCTATACCATCCTTCTAACCTGGATCAATTGTGGATAATAATGACAAAGAGAATATTGGTTAGTTCTACATTGTATTTCAGCATGAGAGAGACCCAGAGCGGATTATTGTATATTTCTGTGGTAAAATGTTTTCACAATTTTTGCATTTTTTTGCTCCATCGTAAAACTTAAAGTCGTGAAATAAACTAGCAAAGCAATCAAGCACCATGTTAAAGGTGCTTTGTAGTGTAGTCCCTTCTTTACATTATTTTGCAAAGTTTTTATTTGATTGAAATAATAGAGGTGATTGTTATCAATCACAAATACATTATGTTTATTCATGCTTGTCATAATACAAATCATCAATAATAATTGTGTTTCATTTTCTATAATGAATAGGTCAGACGTTTAGGTTTTCATGACACTAGGAGCTCCTCTTATCCCAGTGTAGTATTCAACTGTATGTATGATGACAGACCAGAACTGCCACACTTGAAGAAATTTTATAGTCTACTAACTTTTAGGAACGGATCTAAGGCATGCATACCATTAGAATACTGGGCACATAACGGAGACTATATGCACACTAGGAACACATATACAGAGATATATTACAATTATATACTACGAACTGAAAGTAGTGTATCCGAGCCACCTTTACAAGGTCAGATCTCCTTTGATCCAGACTGTCACTCGCTATCCAAAACTATCCCAATAAAGGACAATACAACTGATCGGAAATACACTTACGGTGTCTGCCTTCACAAGAGTATATATAATTTAACTGAGCCTGAAATGTTAGTCCATTGGGTTGAGCTCAATTTGGCACTAGGAGTGGAATTTATGACGATATATCTTCAAAACGGGTACATTCCTGAGTCATACTATACACTAATGATACCTTACATTAAGAGAGGAATAGTTGAAGTACTGGACTGGGGTCTAAGACCACCAGTCATTCCTGGATACACTAAATTCTGGGGACAGACTGCAGTCATCACAGAGTGCATATATAGGAACATGTATAGGGTCAAATACTTAGGATTATACGACCTTGATGAATTTATTATCCCTGGAAATCTCAGAACGGTTCCTGAACTGATCAAAAAATTTGAAAAAGAAACACCAGCAGCACTCAACGCAGCATCCTATGGTGCAACCAATGTATTCTATTATAAATCGAATGAGCACTTACCGCGTATGAATGAGTCCTTGTTAGCCTCACAATGTCCAAAAATGAGTGTACCAAGATACTATACTTTTAATATGAGGAACAAACATGTAAGGCCATTTGTTAATAAGATTATCGTGAAACCAAAGGCCGTCATTTCAGTTTGGACTCATTTTGCGTTAAAATGGATGCCTGGCTACACTAAAGAGAAGTACTTTACTTTCGATGATGCACAGCTACGGCATTATCGTGTCCCCGAGAAACCTGGTTTTTTGAAAACTCCCCTCACAGTAAACTCATTTACACTAGATAGGTACTATAATGACACTGTTATGGGAATCATTAGACATGCTTGCAGGAAGAAAAATTAATGATAATAATAAAAATAATTTTATGTGCCAAAATTAATATTTATTTATTATGTCACTTTGTGGTCAATTAGTCATTCACAAGTTAGTGTCACTGTAAATTAGATCAGTTCAGAAAATGCTGCAGGCTATGATTGCTGCACTAATTACCACATTATAGTATCCACTAACGTAATATTTTGTCTCAAAAGATGTAAAGTTCTCCTCTGTCTAGCATAGGCTGTGTAATCTCGCTTGCCAGACCCGAGGGGTCCGCAACTCCAAATAATCCCGTACACCCTTGAAAATAATCTATAATAATCTGTTAATCTTTAAAATCTCCAGTAATCTCTGGAAATCCCAAAAAATCCTTGATAATCTTTAAAAATCTCAAAATTATCTCACATATCTGCTAGTATCCGGAGTTTATTAAAATTAATTAACCTTAACTAATAATTATTAATAGTTATAACGGTTAACTAACTTTAATTAATACATATTAAAAGTTATAAAGTAGTTAATTGATTAATAATCTCACAAAAAATCTCTGATAATCCCAAAAAATTATGGGAAATCTCAAAAAAATTTCTGGTAATCTTCCAAATAATCTCAAATAATCTCTGATAATCTCAAAAATCTGGTTAATCTCTTAATCTCGTACACCTAAAATAGGAGTTGCGGACCCCTCGGCCAGACCCTTTCCGCCTACACCACCTGCTAGCGGGCAGAAGCCTGTAACTAGTTAAGTAAATTAAATCACCCAAATTGGGCCGCGCCTCTATTAAAAACTAGCTAGGTGGGTGTCAGAAAACTATGAAGAAAAAGGAAGCTCTCTTTGTCCTGTTGAGCTTTGCTCTGCTATCTATGATGGCTTTGAGTTACCTCCTTTATGCTAAAGGAAAGAGAGTCATTATCTTCAGAGGCATGGTAAGTTTTGTCATCCTATTGTTGTCAGCTGCGTTCATATTTCATTTTATAGCTTCAAGAAAGACTTGTTAACGAATTAGACCAGGTATGATTGTCATGTAGCTAGCCCAGTAAAATTGTAGAATGAGTTCAAGATGCATAGCTGTTATAAGCCAAGATCATTCTTCAGCTTGCACTGTCCCATCCTATTTAAACTAAATGATTAAACCTTTTGCGTACAAGCATTCATTCAGCTAAATGGCATACTGGGAAAGTCTGATTCACATTGTGATACAATATGTCACTTGTTTACAGTTTAAGCCTGGTTTCCATATAACAGCCTTACAACACTGTTGCAACAATCGTGGAGATAGAAATCAGGTCTATCTCTATGACATTCAGAGTTGTATGTGTACGTATGCTAACCACAGAATCCATACAACAGCCACAACTACCTGTATATGGAAACCAGGCCTAAGACAACTTGATGAAAGTCAGTGGACAGAGTTGAAAATTTTTGCTTACCTAGGCACTTCCAGTACAAGTTATGCACAACAGTATAATGCATACAATTAATTTTTTTGGGTTAGGCTATAGTAACTGATAGATTACTATTAGTCTTTACTCTACCATATCGTACTGTTAAGGCTAAGCAAGTTATGCTAGCATAATATTAGAGCATAATGGGTAAAATTTCTGACCCTATACCCCTGTAGCGCCTACACAAAGCTGGGCGAGGCCAATGATTTAGAGTATTTTATTTTCCAGTGATTCAACGTCTTTGGAAAAACATTTTCAGATTCTGGCATTATTACAATAAAATTTTTATTACAATTATATCTTCATGCATGTAACTTGATAGTTACCCTTTGCCACACGTAGTCGTATGGGCAAAGGTATATGACTTGATTGATATTTGAGTAAAGCTTTAAATATCAGTATAGTAATGAGCATAATTGGATTTATTTCAAAGTGTAATTTATTGGAATGGAATTTGGGACAGTGCCAAAAAGCGTAATAGGCAGAAAGTGAAGCATAATTTGCCTAGCCCTACGTACTGTATTTTTACTCTACCGTTTAGCGGAAAATTTTGGAGGGAAATAAATTTGGTGAATTTGGTGTTTTGATAGCCATTCACTAAAATAAACCAACTATTTTTGAGCCATTATGTGCACGCTCAATGGCACATGGCCACAAATTTGCGAAATTAAAATTTGCCAATCACTTAAACTTATCAATTCGCCAAATTTAAGTCCCTCCGAAATTTCCCGCTATACGGTATGCCCTTTTAGGATCAGCACCTCTTTCATCCATCATCAAGTCTTCAGGATTTATGGGTTACAGTTAACAAGAACATAGTGGTATGATCATTATGTATATCATGGTGTGTGTTTGTATACGCATGGCATTTCCATTGCCACTTGAGCTATCATTTAAAAGCCTTTCTACACTTGCAATGTGGTTTAGAACTAAAAAAATGATTCCACACTATCTTGAGAATCTTGTTATTTTGATTGCATTTCTGATCCAGCTGCCATTGGTTATCTATTGAATGCCATTCAAACCATAAATGGAGGTGGTTTGTGCATAGAAGCCAAATCACATCAGGTGTGGAATCACTGGAACCAGTTTCAAACTGGTTCAATGCCCATTGGAAGTGCTAGTGTAGAAAGGCTTTAATTGTTTTGTCAAAGAGTCAAATTGTATCATCCCATGTCACACTGTTAATTTCTGCTTTTTAAAAAAACTGGTATTTATTTTTTATAATAGGTCAGACGTTTAGGTTTTCATGACACTAGGAACTCCTCTTATCCCAGTGTAGTATTCAACTGTATGTATGATGACAGATCAGAATTGCCACACTTAAGAAAACTGTATAGTCTTCTAACTTTTAGGAACAGATCAACTGCTTGTTATTTACTAGAATACTGGGTAGCTATTGGTGACCTTGGAGCAAGAGAAAGATATCAAGAAATATATTTTAATTACATATTGCGAACTAAAGAAAAGATAACAGAAGCACCAGTTCATGGTCAAATTTCAATCCATTCAAACTGTAGTTTCCTTTCTCGCACAATTCCAATTAAAGACAATACAACGAATAAGAATTACACATATGCAGTCTGCCTTCACAAGAGTATATATAATCTAACTGAGCCTGAAATGTTAGTGCATTGGGTTGAGCTCAATTTGGCACTAGGAGTGGAATTTATGACAATATATCTTCAAAACGGGTACATTCCTGAGTCATACTATACACTAATGATACCTTACATTAAGAGAGGAATAGTTGAAGTACTGGACTGGGGTCTAAGACCACCAGTCATTCCTGGATACACTAAATTCTGGGGACAGACTGCAGTCATCAATGAGTGTCTCTACAGGAACATGTATAGGGTCAAATACTTAGGATTATATGACATAGATGAATTTATTATTCCTCAAAAACTAAAAACCGTTCCAGAACTCATCGAAACTTTTGAGAAAGAAAATCCAAATGCGCTTAAAGCTGTGGCATACATTGCCAGAAATGCATTCTTTTACAAGAGGAAGGAAAGTCTTCCTGAAGTAAAGAGGTTACCTCGCCGTACAATGCTTATGTGTTACAGGATGAGCTTTCTACCAAGATATTATACATTTACAGTTAGGAATCAAGTGACTCACCTTCAACACCAATATCATAAGGTAATTGTGAAGCCTACTGCAGCAATCGGAGTGTGGACTCACTGGGTCAAGAAGTACATGGATGGCTATACTAAAGAGTTTTATTTCTCAACTGAGGATGCTCTCATACATCACTATCGCGTTCCAGACAAGTATCCTTTGACAGATTTTAATGAAAAGGTTTTTATCATGAGCCGGTACTTTAATGAAACGTTTAAGGGAATATCTGAGAATTTATGTAGATATTATTATTTATGAATCATTATTGTATATTATAGGTTGTTAATTTACTACAGTTGTTTTGAGTTGCAATCAACACAATGTTGATGGTGATTACAATTGTGCGTCATTAGATGTATAGGTTATACACCGAGACCGAGGTGTATAACCGTGTTCTACCATGCGTCCAATCAGATTAGATGCATTTCTTGTAGCTAGGATACACAAAAAGTGTAAAAATCCTTACCATCAGCAACCAATTCATTTTAAGTCACGCACTAGAATGGAAAAGCAACTAGGTAGACATGCTCGTCTGTTCTCAAAAGATGCGACAAACAGCCGCCATGATAGCTCTGGAAACGCCTATCTCATCATTTTATGACTGCCCCGCCTACTTCATTAGTGCTATATACCATCTTGTTTCGCAACGGACAACAGCACTGTGCGCCATGCACAACTAAAAAAGCAATATAATGGGTAGAAAATATTCTGAATGACTGGTGCAAGGAAAGAATGAAAGATTTGGAGAAGCTCCAACCAGGCCACTCTTCTTAATGGAGAAATACTGTTTAAAATGTTTGCTGCAGCAACTGGGGAATCGATGGTTACAAACAAACCACTCACTTCGCGGCGTGACTGCTGCTGCTAGGCTATTTCAAGCTGGTGTTGATGAACAATTAATCATGAAAAGAACAGGTCACAGAAGCACGGATGGTGTACAAATTTATAAGCGCATTTCAGATCAACAAAATGCCGGAAGACGTTTCCTCAATAATATTAGGAAGTGGATATTGGTCCGGCAGCCGGACGCCTACTGCGGGGCTATTGGTCCGGCAGTCCCTATATAGTATACTGGGGCTTCGCCCCAGTATACTAATACACGATTTTATATACAGATATCAAGTATAAATACGACAATCAGCAACGTTGCTGCAGCAGGGTTGCGGTGGTGTAGTGGAGAGGCTGGTCTGGATTGCACGGATGGGGTCAGCGGTTCGAATCCTGTCGGGACTATTGACTAAAACTATGCTGAAATGTTTGATTTTTTTTCCTTTTTTTTTAAATCACTTTTTTTACCTTTTTTTAAAAATAAACACTCTCTCGTACATCTTAGCCTCCGGGGTCGTAGGGTTGGGATTGGGGTTTAGTGTTTAGTTTTTAGAGCACCCTCTCGTACATCTTAGCCTCCGGGGTCGTAGGGTTGGGATTGGGGTTTAGTGTTTAGTTTTTAGAGCACCCTCTC